GCTGGTCTCGAACTCCTGACCTCGAGCAATCCTCCCGCCTCGGCCTCCCAGAGTGCTAGGATTAGAGGCGTGAGCCATCGTGCCTGGCCGCCGCACTCAAAAATTTTTAAAAATCACATAAATAAATTTTTAAAAACTACCTGGAATGTATCTTCTTTCATATTTTATTTTTTCCAAAATTTCTGAGGCATACTGAGGATACCCAGCTTTACTGAAGCTGAAGATAAGTTGTAATAAATCACGGTCCATAAGGTAAAGCTCAGACTTCTCCACCTGCTCCAGTGTCTATAAGACAGTTCCGGAAATTAGAGTAAGTTAGAAACCAGGGCTTTTTATTTAAGTATTAAAGCTAAATAAATCAAAATACCAAGGTTCAAAAAATTAGGAAAAAATACCATCTAAAGGTTTAGGACTTCTTTTATTAAACAGGAAATATTCCACTTCAACAATAACTGCTACATATCAGCACCAGGATACCAAACTGTCGTAAGAATTCTCCTTAAATACTATTCTCTATAAGGAGACATTTTTAAAAACAGGTATAAGCTATACTTTTCTGCTTCATGTGAAACATAAATTGATAAAAATTTCAAAGTATGTTTATTTACATGACATAAGTCATACCTGCTTAACATGGTCAATGTCGCCCTTCTCAGCATATGCATTCAATAATGCGAGGTATGTGTCTGGACCAGGTTCAATTCCAGCCTCTTTCATCACCGTGAGAATATTTTCTGCATTCTCCATATCTCTGTAAGTTAAATCAAAGAAAATAGATTACTATACTATTGCCAAATGTAATATAATTATTCAAACTAAACTATATTACCTATGCTAATTAAAATAAAAAATGTTAAGTACCATTTGGATTGTGATGTCAGAAAAGGACAAATACATATTAAACTGGTTATATGTTTCTGAAATAATAAAAGATCATAAACACCTGATACCCCTAAAAACCAAATTACATAATTACACAGACATTAAATAATGTACCCTCTTATGTTAAGTATGTTAAGTTATGACTCACATTTACCTTTTAAAGAATAACATTCAGTAAATTATTCTTCAAAAATAATATTTTCCAGAGCAGTTAATAAATTATGAATTTGGTTACTTCAGATCAAGCCCAATTTTTCAAATTAAATAACTGCAAATAAAAGTTTTATGAAACAAATTTAAGAACAAGTTATAAAAATATTAGTATGTTCTAGCTCATATACTCCACATTTTTTTTGAAAGGGTAAACATATTTTAGAAATTTTCTACAATAATTTTCTCTAATTTAAATCTTGCTTAAGAACCAAAACCTTAGGTTGAACATTACCCAGCTCTTGCATGTCCTGTAACGAGGGCACTGAATACCACCTCTGTAACTGGAAGATCCTTAGTTTTCATAAATCCAAGAATCTTGCTGCAATAAAAGAGAAACGAAGGTACTCCTTGAAAGTATTTATCAAAAACACTTTTTATAACATGCACAGAATAAAGCCTTGTTTTTAAGATAAAGTAGTAAGACATGCTTATTTTAAAAACTACAAAGTGAAAATTTATCCCCTTCTCACAAAATCCCGCTCCCGGAAGTATCAAAAGTCTTGAAGTGCTCTTGTTAAAAATATAAGGTAATTTTTAAAAACCTCATTTTCCTACACTACTAATTCAACTTTTAAAAGCATAAAGTTTAATATGATTAATTTAGTTATTCAATTTATCCCTTGTTTCCCAAAAGTGGCAATAAATTTCATATAAGCAGTAAAATGTTGCCATTGATTTTATATGAATCAGTGGGATAAAGGGAATGTTCCCAGTTTTTATAAATGAACAGTTTAAATGGCTAATATTTCCCGTAGGAAATATTAATAAAATAAAAAGTAAAGCCAGCTTTATACCTCAACAATTTTACACCAACAATTTTATATCTCTGCTCCAATAAATCAAATTTTTAACTAAAACAGCAATTTTTGCTTATCTTTTTCTTCTTATATAATAATTTTATATTTTATCTAAGTCATATTATGAAATTTGCTGGATTAAAATACTTCTGAAACATTTCCCTTATTAAGAAACTTTAAAAGAAAGAGTGAACAGATTCTAGATTTATAGAATTTATAAATTTGTTTGCTTAAACATATATTAATACGGATCCGTACCTGGCACCTTCAATATCTCCTACATTACAATAAGCAGCAATCAACCTCTGGTATGTCACCTGTCAATAAAATGGGCCAGTTAATATTTTATTAAAGCATTTCTTTCTGGTTTAAAAAAAAAACACGGTGGATATAATCAATAAATATTTGCAATAGCCAACTACCCACTCGATTTGGTTGAATGTTTGCTTCCTCCATTTTCGCCAGGAAATCAGTTGGTGAGAATTTATATTCATTTTGAAGATAGACTTTAAGTAAAGCATTGTAATGACTCACATCATACACAGTACCTACAAATGAAATTTAAATCAAATTTTTAGAAAAGCATTTAAAATCTTATCCTTCACCACAATTGAAATCATATGTACCTAAATTTAACAAACAAAAAAAAAGAGTTAAATTATCACTTCAGTATTTACCTTAACACTTAGACCCATCTATACAGATATCCTGTCAGAATAGAGCAAGCTAAGTATGTAAGACAGTAATTGCTGAATTGCTGTAAAGTTACAACTGTAACTGCCTATTCAGATATTAAAAGATCTCTTACTTATGAAGTATAATATTGTCTTCCTATTAGAAAATGCTGAAAATACCCTTACATTTAAAAGTGACTGAAAGATTTCTCTATATAAAGCAGTTCTCACCATGTTACAGACCCTGTGACAGATGGACTGTGACTGCAGATCTTTCAGACAGGTAGGACCGTGTTGGCAATTTGGCTTGTTTACTTACCAGGTCACTCAAAGCCTTTGTTTGAAGGACCCATTCGATTTTTAGTTGCCGAACATCATTTCTAGTGTGCTTTCATTAATTACCTACATCCCAATACCCTTTATAGCTGTGTCCATATTGCCTAGGGCCACATCGATTAAGGTTACCATTCAGCCTTAATCTACCTGCCCATTCATGACATCGTGGTCATCATATCAATTTAGTAGTAACATGTTTCAGTAAATTTTCAGGGATTAAATTTCATACCTTTATTTAAATGCCTGTGGCCACACAGCCCTACGGTCAGTATCTGGTGTCACATTATGAGATTCTAGGCAGCAGAGACCTGTTCTATTAAATTAATAATTGTTTATATCTTGGCTGGGTACGGTGGCTATAATCTTAGCACTTTTGGAGGCCGAGGTAAGAGGATTGCTTGAGGCCAGGAGTTCAAGATCAGCCTGAGCATGAGTGAGACCCCGTCTCTATTAAAAATAGAAAAAATTAGACAGGTGTAGTGGTGCATGCCTGTAGTCCCAGCTATTCGGGAGGCTGAAGCAGTAGGATTGCTTGAGCCCAGGATTTTGAGGTTGCAGTGAGCTATGAAGACACCACTGCACTCTAGACCTGGCGAGAGCAAGACTCTGTCTCAAAAAACAAAAACAACAACAAAAAAAATCTTGTGTATATGTTAACAGACAGGTTTCTTTTATACTATGTTTCAGGCACTATGCTGAGTGCTTTACGTATAGAGGCTCAGTTAATCTTCACAACAGCTTTGAAGCAGGTACTATTATCATCCACATTTTACAGGTGAGGAAAACTGACTCTTCTACTTATTCAAGGCTACACAACTTAAAAGATTTGAACCACAGATTTGAACCAAAGTGAGCCCTGACAACCCAATCTCTTAACCATTGTAAAACTTTATACAGGGCGTTATAGGGAACCATGTCCAAGTCAAAATCTGCAGCATGATTACGCAACAAACAAGGTCACAACAGAATGTCTGAAAATTTCTTTTAAAAAATCATCAACTCAAACCGAACTTTGTAGTAATAGTTGGCCATAGCTTCAAGATTGCAGGAAATTACATTCTATAATATTATGATGGGATTCACTCGGTTTTGTTGGAGAAGCTGAGGAAAATGCTCAAAACCCAGGTAAGTAACATTTACTGTGGCTTTTCATATAAATTTTAGTCAAGATCGGTGTTCAATACAACTGTCAGGTTTTTTTCCTGCCACATTGGCATAAGGAATGGTTCTATGGATAACAAAAATGTTTCTGTGAACTTCAGTATAATATTTATCTCTATATTTACTTATTACGTCTAGTTAATTTCAAGGTCATTTCTTGAAAAAGATTATAGAGAAATTTTTTGTAAAAATTACATCTTTTGTAGTATGAATTAAGAAAGTGTAGAGCAATCTAAAATTTAAATTAAGCACTCAAAGGTAAGGGACATAACCCTCAAACATCCTTAATAACCAAAAGCTACATAGTGCATTGCTTTGTATATCTTACCACAGGTCCTTAATCTTAATAATATCTCACAGCTCTGGCTCTTCTATTACTTTTAATGTTTTGATATTATGTTCTTGTTCAATCTCATGTTATAATTTTTCAAATTATCATCCACTTGTATTTATCTTATACTTCTTCTGTTTGTCTGTAGTAGTTGAATTTGTAGAAAATGGTCAGGCAAATTTAACTTGAATTTTTTTTTCTTTAAATTTTACTTCATTAAACAGTAAACATATTAACATGGTTCAAAATTCAAAAGATTCAATAGAGCAAACACACATTTATTTTTTATTTATTTTTGAGACAGTCTTACTCTGTTGCTGGGGCTAAAGTGCAGTGGCATCATCATAACTCACTGCAGCCTCAAACTCCTGGGCTTAAGCGATCCTCAGGCCTCAGCCTCCCGCGTAGCTAGGACTACAGGCACGAGCCATCGTGCCTGGCAATTGGATTCTTTTATCCACTTTATTTTGTAACTAGAAAAGTTATAGATTCACAGACATTTACTATGTCCAGCTAATAACTGTAAGCTGATTTTCTGGAATTTTACACACAATCACATCACCTAAAAACTAGTAATTTCTAGTACTGTTTCACATCTTACTTCATTCCATTATATCTGATAGTTGTTGGTTTTAAATTTTAACATGTTAAGAAAGTATCCTTCTATTCTCTATTAAGATTTTTAGAAATCAGGAATGAACACTGAATTTTATCAAATGATCTTTTAAATTACTTTTTTGTTTGTTTTTGTGAGACAGAGTTTCACCCTGTCACCCTGGTTAGAGTGCAGTGGCATCATTGTAGCTCACTGCAACTTCAAACTCCTGGGCTCAAGTGATCCTCTTGCCTCAGTCTCCGGAGTAGCTGGGACTACAGGTGTGCATCATCACACCCAGCTAATTTTTCTATTTTTAATATAGACAGGGTCTCGCTATTGTTCAGGCTGGCCTCGAACTCCTGAACTCAAGCAGTCCTCCCACCTTGGCCTCCCAGGGTGCTAGGATTACAGGTATGAGCCACAGCACCCAAACTTAAATTACTTTACTTTTTAAATATATACTATGGGGCCGGGCGCAGTGGCTCACACGTGTAATCCTAGCACTCTGGGAGGCCAAGGCAGGTGGATCGTTTGAGCTCAGGAGTTCGACACCAGCCTGAGGAAAAGCAAGACCTCATCTCTACTAAAAAAAATAGAAAGAAATTAGCTGGACAACTAAAAATATATAGAAAAAATTAGCCGGGCATGATGGCGCATGCCCCTAGTCCCAGATACTCAGGAGACTGAGGCAGAAAGATTGCTTGAGCCCAGGAGTTTGAGGTTGCTGTGAGCTAGGCTGACGCCATGGCACTCTAGCCCAGGCAACAGAGTAAGACTCTGTCCCAAATAAATAAATAAATATACATATACTATGATCATTTGGCTCAAAATGGGTAAAGTATAAAAAATATACACAGTAAAAACTGTATCTAGTGTTTATCATCCTTCCAGAAATATTTTAATATTGGATACACATGCACATAAACACTTTTCTTCAGTATGGTAGCATACTATACACACTGTTCTGCACCTTAATTTTTATTTATATTTTGGAGAACAACCCCCATCAGTCTATGAGGAGCTCCTTCATTTTTTTAACAGTTGCACAGTATTCTGTTGTTATGAGCACTCCATAATTTATTTATCTAATCCCCTAGAGTGAGAGACATTTGAGATGGTTCCAATTTCTTACTATTATAAACAAGTTACAATGAAGAATATTCTTTTGCATATTTGCGTATATCTGTATCTAAATTATAACAAATGGAACTGCTTGGTCAAATGGTATGTGTACTTACAACTTTGACAGACTAAATCCCTTTCTATTTTGTTCTTTTTAACTTACCACATTTGTAAGTATATAACACTTTTTATGAAAAATTATTTTATTCTTAATACCCCTAGGTGTCACTGTAACTCATCAAATAAGTCATATTACCAAAAAATTACGAATCAAGTAGCCCTTCTAAAAATTTACATTTTATGTAAAGTATTTATGTAAAGAGACACTTTTTTACAAGGAGAAAAAACATCTACATCTTTTATATACAACATATATTCAAACAATCATACCCAATTCCTGAAGTTTGTCCCATATCCTATGAGCAAATTCTGTTCTCTCTGTGAGCTTTAGTTCAGGCAAGAGAGAACCACAGCTACGTAGTAAAAGCAAGGCTTGATTACCACCTGGGATGCCTATGGAAGAAAAAAGGTTAAGGGAGAACATTTAACATAATACCAATATTATACAGATAAATATCAAAATTTAAACTGAAATCTAGAAATATTCAAAATTCGTCTGGCTCACCAAAGATAATATTGACAGTATCCATAAATTAGAAAAAGGCTATCCTAACGCAGAGTTACTAAAAGTTACAAGTTAAATTTTTGATATTAGTCTGGTTTCTTAAGTTGACTTGTTTATTAATGAAATCTATATTAGGTTATGCAATCTATGTAATTTGCAAGACTCTATAGAATACAAAAATACAAAGAATCTAATTTATAAGCAGTGTTTGCTGCAATTCAAAGTCTAAGCTTCTCAGTATCTTATAAAAATAGTACAAAGCAGTATAATTAACACCCACAATATCAAATTTAGGTTTACGATCAGTTACAAAATAATATAAACTTCCTTTTCCCTGTATGCATAATCTTTATCAACATGTCCCTGAAAGCTGACTTTAAAACAAAAATAAACCACTTATTGTATGATTGCATTTATGTGAACTATCTAGAATAGGCGAATCTACAGGGACAAAAAATTACACTAGTAGTTGCCTAGGGCTGGAAGGGATTTTTTGAAGGCTAATAGCTAGAGGGTACAGGGCTTTCTTTTTGGGGTGATGAAAACATTCTAAAATTGACTGTGGTGATGGTTGAATAACCAAATAAATCAGAGAGCACACGCCTGTATTCCCAGTTACTCGGGAGGCTGAGACAGGAGGGTCGCTTGAGCCCAGGAGTTTCAAGTTGCAGTAAACTATGATCACACCACTACACTCTAGCCCAGGTGAAAAAACAGCACTCTGTCTCAAAGAAAAAAATAAAAACCCAGACTCAGAAAATGATGAAAGTCTTTAAATGCATATAATTATAATTAATACTTCTTTGATAGCCCTCATCATCAGATTTTACAGCTATGCTTCTTAATGTGACGGTAATCCTTGAATCGTCTTCAGGAAGCTGGTGAATCCTCTTAAACTGCATACAAAATGGAGTGTGTCTGTATGTGGGCTTGTGGGTGGAGAGGGACTGTGAAGGACCTACAGTTTCCATTAGGTCATTAAGGACGTAAGTGACCCAAACAGACTTTAGTAGCTAACTGAAAATGAAAGAAAAATAACGGAAATCTATCATATGCGATTGTCTTAGGGAAAAGCTGACACAATACAATGGAAGGTAAGAAAAACTAGTATCTTCTAGGTAATTTACCACTGAAATGACCTTTTTCTATAAACAATGGAAAGCAAGAAGATAATTTTTATTTGCTGATTTTGAAATAAACATCTAAAAATGTTTCAGTTACTCCAAACTTTGTCCAGATGTGTTGGAAAAAGAGATCACCATCATAGTATAAAATTATGGTGATAAACAGAATATAACAAACAAAATTTAAAGTATCAAAAAATGTACTCTGTAAAGAGCTTGCCCCCAAACAAGTACTTATTAAAAAATCAACTTTTTGAACAGAAAATTTTGAAATACCTGAATGGCATGTGTTATCAAAGACTTTTTGTAGAAGCGTCTTTGGAATGCGGCCAGTTCTTCGGACAGAATTATCTAGTCTCATTAGGGCCCAATCAAATTGACTGGCAGTCCTTCTAAGAGAAGAAGTGGGCTCCTCTTGAATATCATTCTTTTTTTCAACAGCAATAGCATACAGCCTGGCTGGGTTTAGTAGTCCTCTATAAAATAAAACATAATTAATAATAAACTAATTAATAAACAAGTCAACTGCTATCTATATACGTCATCTTTCTGAGTAAAACCTATACAAATTTTTTTACTAGTTATTAAATACCTAAAACTACAGTGCAACAGCAAAAATTGAGAAGAATGAACTGGTAGGAAAGAAAGTTTTGACTTTTACTTTAGGTAAAATCATATAAACACATACATAAATTATATGCACAATAAATTTCCTAAATAATTGGAGAGTGTCTTGATAACATTCAGCACGGAATCATTTCAAACTAAGATGCTATTATGGTAAGTTTTAAGTTTTTGTTGTTTTATTTCCCTTAACCAAAACCAGGTTAATGAAGGAAAATGAGGCAGCTTATGCTACAAAGCTCTTCTTACCTCAATAACTGACACAACAGATCTAAAATATATCTAAAATTCTGACCACTACCTTTAAGTGTTTTCTGGATATAAGCTTATAGCTTAATATGAATTTAAAAGAAGACCAATGTCCAAGTTAAAACTATCCAGTTTTTTAAAAAGGATCATTCAGGCCAAAATAATTTCTAATCTAAATAAATTTGAAACATTTTATAGTAATAATGCTCTCAATTCTTATCAGCTTTCCATCTGTCAAAATGCTAGTTATATCCTTTCCTAATTATTTTAAACTGCTGCAATCATCAAAAATAAAACTAGACTTTTCTAGTGGTAAACATCACTAATTTTAGGGAAGTCATAAGGGAAAGAAAAAATGTTTACAAATTAGGTAAGGTCAGAATAGCATATATATATATGTGTACATGTATGTATGTATTTATTTATTTATAAAGAGCAACTTTTAAACAATTTAATATGTTAATAATAGAGTATGATATGTAAGCCAAATGCTCTAAAACATAAAATCTGAGATATTCCAGGCTGTAAGAATACAGGCTATGTCTGATTTACAAATAACAGATTTAAAAAATAATCCTTCTGTGTGAAGAAAACCCTTTCATAAATCTAAATTGAATTTAAATGATTTCAGTGTTCGAATATCACTTTTTTTCTTTTGAGACAGAGTCTGGCTCTGTTGCCCTGGCGTCAGCCTAGCTCACAGCAACCTCAGACTCCTGGGCTCAAGCGATCCTACTGCCTCAGCCTCCCGAGTAGCTGGGACTACAGGCATGCGCCACCATGCCCGGCTTATTTTTTTTTCTATATATATTTTTAGTTGTCCAGATAATTTCTTTCTATAGTTTTAGTAGAGACGGGGTCTCGCTCTTGCTCAGGCCGGTCTCGAACTCCTGAGCTCAAACAATCCGCCCGCCTCGGCCTCCCAGAGTGCTAGGATTACAGGCGTGAGCTACCACGCCTGGCCCAAATATCACTTCTGAAAAATAAGATTTCTAATTCTTAGAGATTTACACACTTATTCCAAATATCTTAATTATAGCGACCAATAGGTATAAATATTATATACCAAGTGTATAATAACTGAATATAATTTAAAAATACATCCAGGAAATATCTTCAGAATGTGATAATCACATTTTTTCTGATGTGCACATTTTTACCACAGACAATGGTAAGTTTAAAAATAAAACTATTAGCCAGGTATGGCAGCACCCTGCCTGTAGTCCCAGCTCTTCGGGACGCTGAGGCAGGAGGATCTCTTGAGCCCAGGAGTTGGGAGGCTGCAGTGAGCTATGATTGTGCCACTGTACTCCAGTGTGGACAACAGAGTGAGACCCTGTCTCAAAAAATAAAACAAACAAAAAAGTAAACAAAAAAATCAAACTATTGCTTTCTTATCCTGTTATTAACCTGGGAAACCAGTCACAAACTAAATGATTATGTTATAAGACATTATATTAAAGGAAGCTATACCAGAGTTTTCACCACAAGGGTATGTAAAACACAGAGGCAGTAATTGATAACAGACTAGAGATTCTACCACTGTGATTTAGGACAAGTCACAATCACTCTGATCATAAAGATTCCACCTAGATAAATAGGAAAACAATGGAAAAAATCAGTATACTAACTAAATAAGATGATGTCTTATCTTTGTATTACAAAACCAATGATCAGCATATTGTAGATGGTTAACTGATTAAAGTTTGTTAAATGAGCTGAATTAATTAAATACTAGCTTATTACCTACAAACCACAGACTATACACATAGTATTTATCACTTTCAAAAGGCTTCCACATCCATTATCTGGTTACTGTATGAGTTGTTACTAAATTATGCCCTTATTATTAGTGTCAAACGAACACAAAGTAACGTTATTTTAAATCACAAGAACAATGTGTCAAGTTCAAGTGAATGTGCAATAATGTTGTTCAACAACAAAAGCTGATTAATGTAGAAATACCAAGATTGTAGTGAAGTATATATTAGCCAAAACTTTCTATACACCTTAAATCTGATAAGCTGTTAAGGAGCACAAAAATACAACTTTTGCTAAAATACAGTTTTAAAATTTAAGAGCAGACAAACACAAAATTTGGGGAGAAGGCAGATGTTTATAAACCAGCACATCAATTCTGAACATTCTAAAGCTAATTTTTCCTACAAAGAAGTCTTTAATGCAGCGAAGTCTCCTTCACATAACTATGCTTTGTTTTAATTAGTTAAGTAGAGACATGAATCTATTACCAAATAAACTGGAGTGGAGGAGGGATTACATATTTAACCAAAGAATGCTTTATTCTTCAAAAGGATTCTCCAGTGTTCCCTGCATTATACACATGGCCCAGAATTTATTTTTAAATTCACTCTAATACATCCTGAAGGAAACAACTTTACAACCTGGAGCAATGAGTATGTTGTGACAGAAAGAAAAGAACAAGTCCAGGTGTTAAGGTGGGATCCATGTTAAGAGGAACAAACCCATCAGGCTTGCACAAGCTGGAGTGCACTGCCTCCAAATTCTAATGACCCAAACTGACGTAACCACATAAAGGAAAATTATCTCACCCAAGAATCACAATGGCTCCTTTACACTTTTTTTTCAAGAGACAGGGTCTCCCTTTGTCACCCAGGCTGGAGTGCAGTCTCATGATCACAGCTCACGGCAGCCTCAAACTCTTGGGCTCAAGCGACCCTCCCACCTCAACCTCTTGAGTAGCTAGGACTACAAACTACAGGTATGTGCCACCATGCCTGGCTAATTTTTAAACTTTTTTTCTGTAGAGGCAGAGTCTCAGTATGTTGCCTAGGCTGGTGTCAAACTCCTGGCCTCAAGTGATCCTCCCACCGTAGCCTCCCAAAGTGCTAGGGTTACAGGCATCAGCCACAACACCTGACCCTTTACACTTTCTGAGTTAAACCTCTCATCCCTCCTGAGACTCTGGCACTCACCACTAACATTCAGGCTAGCCATGAATTTTCTCTGGTAAAATCTGGCACTTAAAAAGTTATTTTTCTCAGTTTTAAAAAAAATTATGGTGGTGATGGTGGTTTTTACTTTTACTCTTTAGTACAAAACGATTTTATAGTTGAGCATCCGTATCTTTAAAAAATAATAATAGGGACCAGATTATTATTATAAGCAGGCTCCCACAGGACTTCCTTTTTAAGTCTGTACTATTTTTTTTTAATTAATATACCTTATTTTTTAAGACTATTTTTAGGTTTACAGAAAAATTGTGCAGAGTTCCCTTCCCATATACCTTCTTCCCCCTCCACACAGTTTCCCCTACTAACATCTTGCATTAGTGTGATACATTTATTAAAAATGATGAATCAATATTAACACATTATTAGCTAAGGTCCATAATTTACATTAATGTTCACTCTTTGTATGCATGTATCTACAGGTTTTGACAAATATATGACATGAATCCACCACTACAGTACCAAACAGAATAATTTCACTCCCAGGCATGGTGGCTCATGTTTATAATCCCAGCACTTTGGGAGGCTGAGGTGGGAGGACTGCTTGAGCCCAGGAGTTTGAGACCAGTCTGGGCAACATAGTGAGACCCTGTCTCTACAAAAAATTTAAAAAATTAGCCACGCATGGTGGCATGTGCCTGTATTCCCAGCTACTCAGGAGGCTGAGGCAAGAAGATCACCAGCAATTCAAGGTTACAATGAGCTATGACAGTGCCACTGCGCTCCAGCCTGGGCAACAGAGTGAGACCTTGTCTTAAAAAAAAAATCACAATTTTACTGCCATAAAAATGTGCTGTGCTCTACCTATTTATTCATCCCTTCCCCTCTCCTTCTGAACCTCTGGTAACCACTGATTTTTGTTACTTCTCTCTATAGCTTTACCTTTTCCAGAATGTCATATAGTTGCATTATATAGTATGTAGCCTTTTCAGATTCGCTTCTTTCACCTAGCAATATACATCTAAGGTTCCACCATATCTTTTCATGGCATGATAGCTCATTTCTTTTTATTGCTGAACAATGTTTTGTTATATGGATATACACAATTGTTTATCCATTTACCCACTGAAGGACATCTTGGTTGTTTCCAATGTTTGGCAATTATGAAAAAAGCTGCTATACACGTTTATGTGCAGATTTCTGTGTGGACATAAATTGTAAAATTGTTTGGGTAAATACCTAATGGCAACCTATATTTAGCTTTGTAAGAAAATACCAAATGATCTTCCAAAATAGCTATACCATTTTGCATTCCTATCAACAATGAATGAGAGGTTCCTGTTGTCCTACAGCCTCACCAACATTTGGTGCTTTCGGTGTTTAGGATTTTAGTCATTCTGAAGTATGGTATCTCATCGTTGTTTTAATTTACAATCCCATAATGACGTAAGATGTTGAGTAGGTTTTCATGTGCTTCTTTGGTGAGCTATCTGCTCAGATTTTCTGCCCACTTTTTAATTGGGTCATAAGTTTTATCATCAAGTTTTAAGATTTCTTTGTATGTTTTGGATTGTCTCAGTATTTATTTTCAAGTAAACTTTTTAATAATGTGTTATTCATTCCTTTCAACTTCAAATGCACACCAAACTAATCATACATGTTCTTAAAAACTC